TTTTTTCATATATTTCTGTACTGTGTTACCAGATTGACGGTTCTTTTGTGCCGTTAGTCAATTAATGTCGAATGACTTAGGTGTGTGAAAAAAATGTAATTACAATGACAATTAAATACGCTTTATTAATTAATAACGAGCGAGAAAGAGAGAAAAATCCGTTTGTGTATGCGCGCAACTATTGGCCAAGCTGGAATTGGCGTCTATACAACTACTGACCGAGCTTGAATAACTCCTGATCGCGACAAATCTGCCTCGGTGCGCATTTGCCTAATCGTCCTCATGAACTGCAAATGTAATTGCTGAGGAATCCAAGCTATGAGATCGCGACGAGCGCGCATAAGAGCGGCTTTTTTATGATTTTTAATTAAGACATCTTGTTAAAGATTTTCGTGTATGTTCAGTTAAGTACTATCTATGGAGCATTTTATTTGTGTACACATTAGTTTTTCTTTGTTACGCGAATTTTATACTTTCATATTGCAGTTTAGCGGAGGTTGAAGTTCGTCAAAGGCAATGTGAAGGCACTTTTAAGTACTTTCGGTTCCTATACAAATCTATTAAATTAAGTTTATAAAGACTTATGAATCAGATAATCAATATCGGAAAGTCAAACAAGTGCATCATTTTTTTGCTTTTCAAGCAAGTATTCCGCCACTAAAATTGGCAGCGTTTCTTGATTTTAATAACATTTACAACTCATGAATAACTACTTTTCTTGCTGTGATTCGATCAACTTTATGACATTAAAAAAGTAGTTTTTAAATAATTTCTTTTCTTTTTCAACATTTTAACTCCAAAAGTGCTTTCAGCATTTCAACGAGCTGATTAAGAAAGGAACTATAATTGCAGCTGTAATAATATGCACTTACCGACTATATCCGCATACAAGTTTTCACCCGTGCATGCTGAGACCAAAAAACATCCTACAATCTGTGAAATGAAAAAGTATTCGTTCGCTTATTGACGTCCTGCATTTCTCCGTGATCGTTCAGGTAAGAAGATAATTATTTGAACACAATTGAACGTGAAATTCGTTTGTTAATTTATGATAGAACTCAACCATTGATTTACGTCCAATACCTTCTCTTTTTAATTGAGCTCCAACTCCATCGAATAAAAGTAAGAAAGTTAAAAATTAAAAGGAATTGAAAAATTATTATACTCCTTAATGAAAGGAATCTTCACTCATCTTCAGATCAATAAGTATACTAAATTTTTTTATTTTATAAAATCTAATTTAAAAAGTCATATATTCAAGAGTTAAATCGATAAGCGGTATGGACATTACAGGCATGATATATTGATAGAAATGCGCGAAAAAAATTTCAAGCTCATCTATTGATGTGGCTGCTGTCCATGAACCTCTGATTCAGTTTTTTGTCATAAAATAATTGCCGGCTTTCAATTTGAGGTTTGAAAGCATGCATGATATATTATTTAATTGGAATTCGTCAAATAAACAGCATCTATCGTATACATCTGTTTAAAAGCTGAAATCAATTTTCAATATTATAAAACTAGTCGATCGAAAGCCGTCAACGACGGATCAAAAGAATTTTTCCAATGTCCAGTGTAAAAGCATAATTATTTGAAAACTTAGATCTTTCTCAAAACTAGACTAAATTTGTATGGAAAATGCATTGGAATCTAAATATATTTGATCAATTTCGTCAACCGCATGCACTAGAGTTAATTAAATAAAAGTTAAAAAAATTAATTATTCACATTGAACAGAGTTAACGCATATACGTAACACTTATTATATGCAAAGCATACACTAGTCACAGAAACTCTCCAGAGTGTACAGGAGAAAAAAATACAAACATGAAGACGTCATAATTAGCGAAGAAAAATACAATAGTTTATACGTAACGACAATCAGATGGAAAAACTACATTGCACGGATCATCACTTAGAAGGCCACAAACAACTTCCTTGGTTCGAAAAACCGCAGCGTTATACATAGTAATAGGACAGCATTAAAAGAATCATATAGACAAACTCGCAAGCAAAACTTACAAGGTGCCACATGGCGGTTATAATCTATTTTAACAAGTGAATTAAACTCGAGATGAGGATTTCGGCAGGACCCCGACGAAACTGACGTTAGGAAAACGCGCGGCACTTGTATATGGGCGCTTTCTCTCTCTCTCTTTCTCTCTCACTTTGGCGCGCGCGCGTAGCCCACCACCTTTGGCGCTTTCACGCTTATAACGACCCATGCGGCACTGGCGCTCTCTACATGTACGTGCACCATATATTTTTACTAGGTGCTGTCGCGCTCTGTCGTTATGTGCCCTAGGGGTTCCACAGAGAGTTGACGTAACGTGCCAGCGACGTCGCCTCCGAGATCTATCCTAGCCAGGAAGCGATCGGGTTCGCTTAAAATTCTCATGCTCAGCGCGACATACGTGGCTTGTTATATCCGTAGCTTGAGATCGCTTACAAAGAATTGCACCTGCGACTTCTCTCGACATACTTTCTGACTTTCTCAAATTATTGGCGAGAAACACACGCAGAACGATAACTTATATTCGCAAGTGAAAATTGAATGGGCGATATGTAATTAAAACTGCGCTACAGCGTTGCCCGTTACATCATAATTTTATTGGAGCATATAATTCGAGATTTTTAATTCGACTTTGTTGCAACTTAACGCTCAAAGCTAAGATTTATTTTGTAACGAACTGGAGACCAATGATTCAAGGCTCAACGTAAATCACCAGATCTGATTTGCTGTTTGGATACATGCGTTGTTGCATTTTCTTTTTTTTTCGTTTTACGGGCGTAATTGCGCAGTAGTCAAATTGCTCTTTGTGTACAACACTTGATCGAAATGACTTGACTATTTAATCATACGTAATGTTCAAAGGGATAATTACGATCACTTGAGAAATCAAACAATAAAATGTCACGTTAGCTTTGCGAGACACTGCCGCAGTTTCCTTGTGGAAGACAAAACGCACTTGGTGCGTTTCCCATGCTAAATGTGCATTGAATTTATATGTTAAAAGCAGTAGCTCTCAACGATGATCAAATAGAAATTCCAGAACAAAGCCATCTGAGGTCTGCTCGATACATTTGGCATTGTCCATCGAATGGTCAACGATCGGGGATATCGAATGACGGAGTAATTACGCGAGGAGAAAAGCGAACCAAACTGCCTGTGCGTACATGCGAACTAGAAAGAGGCTCAAGTGGTGAGTATAATTAGGCCCCGTTGAAAGGTTGATAACCTTTTTGCTCTTGCTCTTGCTCTCTCTCTCTCTTTCTCTCTCTCTCGCATTGTAGCACGGGTAATTTATGTGCAAGCTACGCGACATCTGGTGAGTCCGTGTGAGCGCGTCGCCCAATAAGTACTTGCGAGGCACTTACCTGTATATCGGCGAGATCACGTAACAGCATCTCTAGCTCTGCGCTCACTAAGCTTTATACGTATGTGCTCGAGGAAAAATTGGCGAGAGAGAGAGAGAGAGAGAGAGGAAGACTCTTCCGCGTTACGGAAAAAAACAGCGAGTTATTTTCTTTTTGCGCCGCAAATCGAGACCTGATTTCGTTTGATCGCTGCTACTAGTTTATGGGTTTGCTGCTAGACGTGAAAAAAAAAGTTAAAAGCCATACCCGAAAAATTCGTTTCTATACTTACGCGGCTGAAAAGCTTCGCACGGCTTGACGTAATAACAACGGAAAAATATGATCCCGCTGCTATTTTGGCTGCGAACTAGTGATGCAAGACCCAAGTCATATTTCTGCAACTAGTCTCATAATTTTATGTGTGAGGAAAGTGCTACTGCTGCAGGTGCCAAAGTAATCTAATCAAGTGCTGAATACTTTCGAAATGAACGACTTCAGAGACAGCTGGAGTGCTACTTGTTTATTACGTTACTGAACATTTTATTTATATATTTCATACAGTTTTCATAAACAACAATATTATGTAACACATTTGTTTCGCTTGATACCTTAATTAATAATATAATAATGCTTCGATCAATGCTTCGCGGTAGATATACATCATAAGTATATGATCATCGCTGTGTAATCAAAGATTCGTACATCACACATTATACTTCATCTATACACCTTTTAAGCTTATATCACTGTGACCTCATGTAATACTATCATATCGTTGCATATACAGTGAATTGTCGTATTCGAAACCAACTATTGGATAGAAAAATTATTTCAGATTTTTTAAATAAATGATTGATTTTTTGATCTCGCTTTTGACAATCTAATAAAATACTTTGTTAATACTGAATTAATGTTAAATATATAGGGCAGTAAAATTTCAGTGTCGTTGCATCCAATAATCAAGTTTATCTCTTCTTTGTAATAAATTGACGAAATTGGAAAACTACCGAAAAGTTTGTTGGAACAAACAATGTCACTGATGTCGGAAAGACGACATCCGACTCGGCAATTTGAAAATCTCGGTGGCTCAAATTTGAACGCGCATAAATCGGTAAACTGCGACAAGGCTTGGCTACCTGCTATTTACGTGTATAACGTATTCCGCGTTATACTGAATTACGGCTAGTGCAACTTTCTCGATGAAATCGATAGGGGGATATAGAGTGTTATTACCGGCGCGCGACGGAAAGAGAAACGATATGCTATCCATGGGCTCAATTAGCTCGATTAATTATATCGCTCATTTTCGAGTTTGGATGCCGAAGTGATAAAACTTTCACTAACTGGGATTTTCTTTCTATAGATCAATCTTGACAATAAAATAACTCTGGAGGCGCAATGTATTATTAAACAAGGAAAGAAAAGAGAATGATTTGTGATAATGAGATGGAGCGTGTTATTAACCGAGATTTTCCAATCAATTTCTCTTCCCGCGTTGCGTAACAGCCGATGAATTTCGAGAAAAAGAAAACTGGTTATAAACCAGGAAACCTTTCAAATGAGATTATGCTAAATCTCTGTAAAAAAGAAAGTGATGATCGAAGGTGGCGAAAAATCGTTATCGAATCGAGAATGAAAGTTATCTAAGCTGAAGTTTCCGCGCTTTCTTCCTCGCTAGCTTCGTACTGCTGGCTGTGCTGTTGATGCGCGGGAGACTGAGCATAATAACCGTGAGCTTGCGGCGGCTGCTGGTAGTACGGCTGCTGATATTCGCTCGCCTGAGCCTTGTAGCGAGCAGGTTCTTGCTGAGCGTGAGTCGGCTGGATGGGCTGCGGCACATAGGGCTTCTCGGGTTTGATGTGAATCTGATTAGCGATGATGTCGTAAGGGATCTGCGCCTGATACCTCAAAATCTCCTGGATCTGCTTGGGCAAGTTGGTGGAATAATGAGGCGCGTGCTCGACCGGCGGCTGATTGACTCGCCTGTAGTTTTTCGGGGATGGCTGCTCCGCTTGGGCTTGCTGCTGCTGTTGCTGCTGCGCGTAAGCTTGGTACTGCGGTGCCTGTCGTCGCTGCTGAGTCTCCGCGTAAGCTTGCTGCGCGTAAGCTTGTTGCTGCTGCAAGTAGGCCTGCTGCTGCTGCTGCTGCTGCTGGGCATCGTAGGAAGGTGCTTGTCGTCGTTCCTGCTGCCGCTGGCGTGGCTGCTGCTCTCGCAGGTAGGCGTCGTACTGTGGCGCTTGGCGACGATGCTGCTGTTGCTGGGCTCGACGAGCCAGCGCTTCTTGCTGGGCGAGGGCGTGCTGACGCTCGGCGAAGGCTTTTTGCTGGCGGTAGTAGGAATCGTAATCGATCGGCGATTGGCGACGCTCGCGCTGACGGGGTCGGGCTCTATACTGGCTGCGCGGTGCCTCTTCGATCACCAGCTGCTGCGGTTGCTGGGCTAACACTTGCTTGGGGTATTCTTCGGCGAATTTCGCTGCTTGCTCTTTGGCAGCCGCTAGTGGATCGAATCTGAAAATCGATTTCGATTATGATTCGTCATTTTGACGGAACGATAATTATCCGAATCCATAAATATGAAGCTCTGCGGTACATTGAACACAACATAAGCTTTGTAAAGTTGATCCGCTCAGTCGGCGCAACGCTTCTGCATCCTCTACGTGAGATTTTTCAGAAGGGAAAAATCGATCGGATTATAAGTGAGTTATACCGCTTGAAATTGAAGCACGACACAGTACAATAAGCAATGGCGTAATTGTCGATCGACACTCGCGCCCATTGTGTTTAAGAACGCAACATACCTAAGGTGCTCGGGTATAATGTTGACATATGGTATTTGGGCCTGGAACTGAAGTATCTCCTGAATGGACGGCGGTGCCTTGTCGATGGGGTTGTAATTGATGTTGGCTATGGGCGCCGTGTGATGGTAGCGTGGCTCCGCTTGTTCCTGCGGTTGGCCTTGTGGTTGCGGCTGTGGCTTCGGCTGCTGTGATCGCGCTTGAGCTTGCGCACGCCTGTGGCTGGGTCGTCTCTGGACTGGTCGGGGAGCTGGCTGCTCTTCGTATTCAGGCTGAGCTTGAGATGCTTGGGCAGCGCGACTGTAGACACCCCAATGGTCTTGCTGACCTGTGCATTTCAGATAAACAATTAAAAACTTCAGTCTATCTTCAATCTATTTGTGCAATAACGTAAAAATTTGGCGACAGATTTAAATTTAAAAAACAAAATATTACCCAGATCAAGAAATCACTTTGACATGTTGCATCTATCATACATAAATCATATGATGAACGATTAAAAACAAAAGTACATTGATTTCCGATTCTCATGGACTACGATACCTCGTTTTGTTCAAATTATTTTTTTTAATTGGTTCATCATTATTTAAGTGTTAGTTTAATAACGCTAAACAAATATACAAAATGAGAAATAAATAAAGCTGAACGGTATAACTTTATTTTATAAAATAGTTAAATATAACCGAATTGCGAATAAGAAAAATTCATTCAAAAAATTCATTCAAAAAATATATCAGACAATAATAATTTCATAGCAATATTTTGATAAAGTGATTTGTATAATTGTTTCTAACTTATCAATTATTCTACGTATCGCAATGAGTTTTCGTAAGCATAAAATAAATCAATATTATTAAACTGAGAATGGAAAAGAACAAGTGCACTGTTAAATATTGAAAATTCATTATTTCACGAATGGTATTCTCATTCTTGAAAATATCTAATTTGACTTCGTCAAATGGTTTAGAACTCACCGTAATGAATATTTTTTCAATTAAATTTTTGACAGTTGTATTTTATCGTTGTGAACTATAAAATTTATATAGGATGGAAGCTTATTGTAACACAACATTTCTACAGATGAGCACGCATTATAATTTATAGTTTCACCTTGATTGATAGCTTGCTCATTAGTATTATAGTCGTGAACGTAAGCTTGGCTACCGCCATCAGTCGCTCCATGGATTTGGAACTGGGAGTTTCCATCAGTTGCACCTTGGATGCGGAATTCAGAATTACCATCAGTCGCGCCCTGGATTTGGAAATCACTGTTACCGTCACTTGCTCCAGTTATTGAGAAACCACCGGTTCCCAAAGATTCTGGAAAAGGTATAACAGTCATTCGTTTATTTTCATTTTATACATATTTTGTAAAATCAATTTTTCGTGTAACTTAGCGATACTTTATTCTCATTTCTAACACATCCAATGAGATCTTGTTTAACAATATTACCATAGAAAAAGGAACGTATTCTAGAAATAAGATTGCAACACTAGACATAAAAGACACGAAAAATAGATAAAAACTAAGAAAAAAGCCGATAACTGTCTGTTTTAAAATTCGGAAAGGAAGCAATTTCTTCAAACGGTCCAGCTTTACACGCGCTCATTGAATTCATAGATCATCGTTATAGATCTCTATGCTTGACCCGAGGATAACGCGCGTACTAAGTTGAATTTTCATTTGCGCGGAATTGAGCTCGTAAAGTTCGTGCCCGGCGCGAGGAAATTTCGAAATTCTCACTCGTTAAAGGCGGTGCCGTAAATATTCTAATTGGACAGCGCGACGTGAATGATTCTTTTGGCTTTTTCAGGTTGCATGGCGTGCAAGTCGGAGAGAAAGCGGGCGCGGAGAAAAAATAATCAATCGCTCTGGCATAGACTGTGTGTGTAGAAAAACATCGAGCGTGTAATTACCGGCTTGATTCGTGTACTCGATTCCCTTGTCCGGGCTATACTTGAGGCCCTGAGCCCGTCTGTTTCCATCGCTCGGCCCTTGGATGGAGAATTGGCCGAAACATAAGGGCAATATCGCCAATATAATAATCTAAAAAAATAAATGACGATTATATCTCTGAAGAGTATAAAAAATATTGTTATAGTAAAACAGTCTGTCCAATACCACTTTGTTGGCGCACTTTTATTGAAAAATGCACGTACAAGTAAACTTAATCGTTTCTATCTACGCTCTTATTTGAAATTGAAATCATCAATGTCCAGTAGAGAAAGCAGTACGCCTGTACATACATTCAAACAAAAGTGAAAATGCATCTTGGGGATAATAAAATAAACACCACAATTGACAAGCAATGCAAGGCAAACCTGTTTATACATCGTTTACTTTATTTACAATACTTGTACGGTGAAAGTTATTGTCCCGCGATATTGCACGTATATGCCATCTATATATACAAAAGAAGTCGTGTCTTGTAAAATCGTATATTATTCTCTGTCAACGAAGGCTGCACCTGTGCGTGCCGCGAGTAGTTTCTGTATAGCTGCAAACACAAACGGCACGCCGACATAAACGTACAATGCAGCTTGGATCGTGTTTATCCAAACTGAATGATAGTATACGATTTATCATTGTTTTCTGTGAGTGCTCTTTCGACAGAGAGAGAGAGAGAGTGAGCGTATACTTTCATTATTCCGCGGCAGCGCGCGTACATTGGCACAAATGTCGAGTGCCCTCTATGCGCTCTATACTTGGTCTAACGCCGCGCGATTAGCACGACGAGTGCAGCAGGAGAGGAGAGGTGAAATAGAAAGTGGTCGAGCCTCTGTCTATGGAGCTATACCTATATATAGTGTATTAACCCACGCGAGACACCCGGTTTTTTGCGATCTATACTCCGTTACAGACGCTACTTATCTAGATATTACTTTTCAAAATTTTTATATGACCGCTAAAATTCATTATATGCCATTTTTTGGATTCTAGAAAAAGTCTCTGTCATTTGATGAAAGCTCAGTTAGTCGGTTAGTGATGATACGTTTAGCACATACCGTTATGTTACATTTATATACTTTTTTACCTATGAAATGGTAGCAATTATTAGATTCACGATTTTTCATTCTATGGCTGGAGACATTTGTTCATTTTATCACAGCAATTTTTCGAATAACAATTGTCGAAAAGTCGATTAAATCTTGGTCGAAATTCAATCGCAATTACATTTGTAAAACATGCCACCTACATTCGTAATATATTCTTTTCATTGTTCGCAAAAAATATATTTCTACCCATATTTCATGTGCGATGTCTCGTTGCCGTATATCAACAGTCACGCGTTCAATAGCCTTTCGGTACATCACGTCGTCATAAATCGCGTGAGAATAAATTGCCGGGAAAGTAAACATATACCAATGTTTATGTAGCAAAGGATTGTACAATTTTACCTAGTGTTTTTCCCGAATACCCTCTTTTCGCGTTTAATTAAGTGATTAATTTAATTAATAATCATTAACAATTGATCATTACGTATTACAAATATACTACATAACCCAGGTTATATTTGTAAAGCAGGAAGAAAGATAATAAGCCGATTATTCTACGTGGAATAAAAATAATTATCTTCTGATTCGATTTCTGCAATCTATTTGATTTGCAAAATAATTTTTTTAATCTGAAAACAGTGTACAATTGTTGATCAGACATAAGCAATGAAATAATTTTATCATCCCGTTGACGTGTATATACGTTGCACAGACGGCTTTGCTAAAGCACGAAATTACAAACACTGAATGTATAGTTATACTATAACTGATTAAGCGAAATCGAGTCTATGATTGCGAACTCGCGGCAAACGAAGAAAATTGTCCACTCCGGCTGGAAAGTTGCGGCAATAGCGATTTTCGGTCTCGCCAAGCCATTCTCAACATTAAAATTCTCGCCTTGTGTGAATTTTGTTTTAGGTCGGCGCGAGAATAGCGTATTTTCAACATCGTTACCAAGCGACAAAAACGAGCGCACAAATTATCCGCGTGCATGAAAAAAACCGAAAAATTGCACGTTCTTTGTGCGGAGTATAACATCGAGAAAGAAACAGAAGTAGGAGGAATATGAAGAAAAAGACAAGATTTTAGACCATTTCGCTGAACAGCTGCAGTTACAAAAACAAGAGTAAAGTGCATAATGGTCGGCAAGACAAAACAAAGCAATAAAAAACAGTATCTCACCTGAAGTTTCGTCATGGCGCCTAGAAGTGTGATCTAACTCGGTGGGACCGAGTGTCGTCCGAGGGTGGAGCGATTCTGAGGCGGGCGCGCGTCGCAGTGAACCACTTTATAGGCCTGCTATAGGCCTTGGTGCGTGCAAGCGAGGGGATGTGTCTGTTACTGCTGGCTCTCGGCGAGAGGCGAGTCGGCTTATACAGCCACCTCTCCAAACGTCTGCGGCGGGCCTCACCTGTACGTACTCGATCGCCGAGCTCAATCTCCAAGCAAACAAACGTCATGCAAATATATTCTTGTTGGCATTGATTTTTCCTTTAACGTTGCTTTCTCAAACATACGCAAAAACGATGACTCTTGCTAGCGCTCAACCTTCCAGTGATCGATCAATTAAAGCTTGGCTTAAGCTTACAATTTTCTTTTAAGTTTATTCAAATCGCGATTTAGCTACTTAAACATTCATTTTACTTTCATTTTTTGCTATATCCAACGTTAAAGTATTACCCATGGGCATTATACCTATACGGTAAACACAAAGTGTTAATAAACTGACAAGTCAATAATACTTGAACATTTATTGCTCACGTCCAGAAATTATATACTACTTTGCAAACTAGTTTCCAATGTCAATGTTGCTCGATACGAAATGATGCGTTACGTCAAAGTATTATGCGATACTTCTATGTGCGCGATTCAGTGGCAGGTATCTCGCAGTATGTGAAGATTGAATCGAAAAAATTCTCTGATCTAAAAGTTCTCGTACTAAAATTATTTTTTCTCGTAACTCGTTTATAAATTTAATTCAAAACCAAGGTGTGTTAATAAGTAACAAAAAAAGCCGGTTTGTCACGACTTTCTAACGCACGAGAAAAACAGTTTTGGTGAGAGTAGCTCTATACGTCTATTCCGAACTTTTTCGCATTTCAAATAATAAAACTATTTAATTTTCAAACGAAATTTTCGGTAAATTTGCTTCATTCCTTCGGTGTTTTATTGTGTAACAGAAATAAGCAATACTTGGCCAACGAGAATGTATTTTCCGAAGTGGTATTAAATATTTCAGTTATAGAATATTTATTGGAGTATAGACCGCGGATAATTACGCTGTAGAAAAGATACCTAGGCAAAGTGAATATTGTCTAGTCATCAAACGGGGAGACAAGCATAGTTGTTTTAGCCGTGTCACGTTTGTCAAAAAAGATTGCAGCCGAAGTAGCAATTTGGATGTAACGCTAGCTATAACAGACATTTCTCGGTCAGCGACTCCGCAATTCATCTCGGCTCGGCAGCAGCGCGGCGCAGCTCGTTAGGTTTTAACGAATTTCCGCAATGCTCCTCGACAGAAAACGTTGCCGTGCGCTTTTCTCGGCGCATTGTATGAGCTGTATGCGCGCGCGCGCGGTCGTCGAAAAAAAGCAGCAACGAGCGCGTTATACCTGGCAAAAACGAAAGTACATGCACACACGGCGAGGCGAGCGGTGTGCAAGCGTGTAACTGTGCAGCGCGCACTGCCGGCACCGTGAAACCAATCGTGAAGGCCACGAAAGTGGATCGACGATCCTTTCTTCCTTTCTTCCTTCCTTCCTCATCCGGAGAAATGCCTCTCTTTCCATTTTCACGATTTTGCCGTCGATGCCTATCGGTGCGCGCGCTCGCTTGCCTATATATACATGTTGTAGCAAGGTGAAATCGTTCATTAACCCTCATTTTCTTTTGTTTCAAATAAACAGTTTTATTGCTCCATCGCTTCAGTTACATATGTCGATTTTGTAGATGTGACGGGGATAATTCACTGCATCGTGCAATATTGCAGAGTTTCACTTTTACATGCGCCTTTTCAGCTCCCCCTTTTTCTTCTCATCCGATTACACTACAAAGAGCTTTTTTTACGTCCAAACTATAGTTTCGCTATTACATCAGTCATTCCAAGATACATAAACCTACAAGAGAACTCATGGAAGCTAGATTATACGATTCTACGCTAAAGATGTTTTACCATTAGAAAAATCTAGCTTCACTTGCAATTGCAGCAAATCTTAGTGCGCGAGCAACAAATTTATTTTCTGTGTCATTTTTTAAATAAATAAAACAAGATTTGTATAGAAAATTTCCTTCGATCTTACTAAACATGGCAATTGACTTTCCATTTACGTAGGTACTCCGTTTTCCTCGTTTCATTACTTACAATTATAATTTGTTCATAACACTGTCACACAATAATTTTACTCTTCCTGCTGCTGTTGCTCTCGGGAAAACTCGAAAGAATCTTTCGGTTCCTCCCGCTCTTTTCGCTCTTTACTCTTTTGTTCTTCGGCTTCGTCGTTCTTTATGTAATAAACTTTTGTGCGGTACTTGTATGGAGTTTTCGCGTCTTCCTTGAAAGCTTTTGGTATAAACATACTTTTGGGCTTGTAAACAATTTTATTGGCAATCACGTGATAAGGAATCTGAGCCTGAAGATTCAGTAGTTCGTGAATCTCCTTTGGCATATTATCATTTTGCCGTGGTGTTTGAGCTTGTTGATGCTGTTTCTCCTGAGAAAATTCTTGTTCTTCACCGGAGAATGGTTCTCGCTGCGGTACAGTTCCGTACAGGGGCGTTGCAGTAGTAGCAAATAAACCCGACTGATCATCGGCGTATTGCGCAAGTTCGAGCTTAGGCTTGTCAAATGAGAACTCGCTTTGGAATTTCGGAATATGTTCGAATGAAGAGAGGCCGTCGTCGTGTTGCCCCAGAGACGTAACTTGCTCAAAGGATTTGTCTTGTTCAGACGAAGCTTGCTGACGTTGCCTGGCTTCCTCCAGCTGCCGATGAGGGCGGTAGATAAACACTGCGGGGTCGATGTAAGGTGCCTGGGGCTCGTACATTTCGTGGATCAACTGCTTGATATGTGACGGCACCATCGAATGTGGTTTGTATTGAACCTGCACATTTTATTCGATCATTTAAATATTTTCTTCGCTGTGCAGCTCCCGTAGCTAAATCTAGAATAAGCGATAATTGTCTAACGCTAGATTACACAATTTGCGAGAATGCTCTCGCCTGTGCGTGAAAGATAGCATGAAAAGTTAAATTCGCAGGTTATTTATCATAACGTAGTATAATGCACATTTATAAACGTGCAAAGGTTACCCGCTAAAATTTTCAGTTTTAACAAGCTCTTTTTCAATGATTTTATTTCAAAATTAACGTATTTTTAACCTGCACTGGTTGGATAGACTGCGCAGACTTTTCCGATGCAATAGCAGGAGCAGCAGCATTAGCAGCAGGTCTAATCAGTTCTCCTTGATAAGATCCGAAACTAGGCTGAGTAGTTCCGCTTTCAGCTCTTTCATTCCGCTGGGCCTCTTCTAAATGGGACCTCCATTGCGAATGCGGTGAGTAGAGCTTCCAGCTGACTTTCAAACCTTTATTACAGTTCCGTAAAGTATAAATATTCGATCAACGCAAACTTTATTAATCACGGAAGTGTGCGCAAATCAGAACATTATACTTCATTATTACATTTCAAAATCGCTAGAAAGGTAGATTAGTTCGATAAGGTAGAAAGTTTATACGTCAATTCGAAAGTTCTTTATGCATTGTTTCAATTACTTTAATTAGATTACAATTTACTCAATTGAATTACAATGAATAGTGGATGGAATGTTTGCTGGTCGCGCTTTTTATGTAATGCGTGCGTTTCCTCAGTTAAAATAATAATCGATTGTGCGAGATAACATTTATTATTTGGTGACAAACGTTAATTAAAGAGAAACGACTAATTAAAATTTACCATCGGGATCGCTGTACTGAATGTGTCCCTGTGGCGCACGGGCTAGTCGCGGTTGTGCACTTTCCTTTTTTTCCGCCAAACAGGTAGAGATCAAAAGTGCCACAACTAACTAAAATTATTATATTTTTTCATCAATGTTTAAATTGTATAAATGTTTGAAAAATATCAATTTTCACACTTAAAAAGTAACCCCCATAAATTGCGTCTACCGAATACTATTAAATTTTTGAATCAAGTGTCGTTGAAAAAATGCGTACCGTTTTAAGCATTTTTAAAATAATTATTACAGTAAGTAATAATCAATTGAAAAAGATTGCTCCGGAATGAATCAATTCATATTGAAAATTTAACATAAAGGTAGCATTAATAAAACGCGTATATTGCATGATTTAAATATTTTCTTTCGTATATTTTTTAAAACTGTGTGACTAGTTCAAATGATTTTCTAATATAACGATTGATCAATGATAATTGATAATATTATAAAAAATATAAACGAAAAAATGGTAAAATATTAATCTTTTATATTTTTGCAATACATCATTGCGATACAATATTATTTATACAATGAAAATCTATTGCTTTAGAAAATTTTAATAAAAAGAGTTTTTTAATATTCCGGAAAAAGCATGAGAATTCGATATTTGCTTTTGTTAGGAATCGTAATAAACATTTCTCATTGTTTTAAAATGAAAAAATCTACTGATAAATTATTCAAGTTGTGGCCAAAAAATATGCATACTTATTGAGAAGATGTTTGTGAATATCTTTCAAAAGTTTTTAGTATTTACGCAGACGAAAAGTAGAACCAAACCAGACAGAATCACACTCACAAGAGACTTCATGTCGATCGCCGATCTTTAATAAAAAGTTGAGAAGAACCTCCGTTGATGGTTATCCAAAGTTCTGTAAGGGCTTGGTAGCAAGCTTCTCTGTATAGGGTTGTTGTCAGCGCGAGTCACGTCGAAGAAATCTGTCGATCGGGCAAGCGCGGACTTTTCTATATAGGCTGCAGCGGCCGCGTAATTGGGGCCTCGGTTGCGCTCTCCCGGTAGCCACTTTGTAAAGTCATTCGCCTTTGGTTCAACGGTGCACAGCTAAAGGCGCGCGTCTCTATTTGAACAGGCCTCCAGGGTATTATCAGCCTAGGAGGGAGGCGGCGCATACCTCGCGGAATCGTATGGTGGCGCAACGACGCGCGAGAAAGATCTGTTAGGAAAATCCCAGGAAGTTGTAATGAGAGCTCGCAGAAACAAAGCTGCTGTAAGCTGAAGGACAAAGCGACAACAGCACAAGAAAAAAATATAAATACTTATTATTTTTTATCCTGTTTTACAAGCTAACGTTTCAATTTTAAGAGCCAATTACTTTTTGTATTTTTAAATTATAATTGTCGCAAAATGTGTCGACCGAAACCGAGAGCTTTCATAATTAATCGCTTCTTTCCTACATTTATTATCATTTTTCCAACTGTTTTTTAACTTATTATGTCTAAGACACAAATAAACATTAGTTAAATTTCGTGCAATTGTTCAATCGAAATTTGAGTGAAATCTTTAGTTATGACTTTACAGAAAGCATCTCATTCAAATAAACAGTATAATTATTGCTACAAAATTCTTTTGTTTAAAGTTCAATTTGTTTATTAACGAACTTATACACAAGAGAAACCACTTCGTTTATCATCAACTTTTTATTAAAATCAAGAGACTAGATAGAAAAAGTTTATTAATTGTATCAATATAATGAATATTGGTAGAAATTATTTCAAATTTTATTTATTTAAATTATTTATATATGCAATGATATATGTAGTGAAGAATTGCATGGTTTCTTTTTAATTTTCTTCCTGTTCTCCATAAAATTTTTCTATATATATATACTGATATTTGTACTAATTTTCATCAATTTATTATAATTTTTACTTAGATAACATCACGAATGAAAATAGTGATAATGTAATAATTTTTAAAAAGGCGAAAAAGGCGGTTTTTTGATATATTTGAGATTCTGTAACGTTGTGAAAAAATCTTTTTTTATAAACGCAGACAACTACTTTAAAGGTCAACTTTTCAACTTTCAAAATCTATTTTTTAAATTTAGGATATCTTTTCTTTTAATCGAGATATCGTTGATTGACGTCAAGTATTTTCGCATATGTTATATACATATGCGTATCAGAGAAATTAGGTGTTTCGAACTGCTAAATAAATACTTGACTTCAAACAAAAATGTCTCGATGAAAAAAAAAAGATATCTCAAATCTGAACAATAAGTTTTAAACGATAAGAGTTGACTATTCAGGTAGTTTTCCTCATTTATAAAAAAAAAAATTAGTTTCACGATGTTATAGAACTCAAATATACAAAAAAACGCCTTTTTCATCTCTTTAGATTAGGATATCTCAAAAATTTGAAGTGATGGATAAATTCAAACTTCGTATTTGTATTTTTAGCAAAAAATTACTTCTAAAATGACCCTCTATTGGCCAAGAACAAAGTCATGCAGTCAGCGTAATAATTTCTTTCAAAGCAGTCAAAATAATCATAGAATGGAGTAAAAAATTATTGTTTTCAAAATATTAACTATCAATCGCTAAAGAAATAATAATATATAAATGAGACAATTATTAAATTAGCTAAAATGAATTTTTATAAAGAAAGTAGGGAAGTCACCTCTGCATAAAAAAGCTAACATCTAATAAAAAAAGAGAACGTTTCAAAATCTCGTAATTTTCCAGGTAAGAAATGAGCTGCCTCCAAAATTTCTCGTGAGAATCTCTACGTGAAATATGAATGGTTGTAAATAGGCTTTCATAGCGAACGCTTGTTCGGTTACGGCTCCTTTTGTTATTTATAGGTATTATTAAAGTGTAATTGATTTTTTTGCTAATTACTGATGCAGTGCGCTTAATATAACGTAGCTTTGTGCAGCTCAATTATACTGTGATAGTATGAGTGTATGCGCTGTTGTTTATTACAAGAAAAAATCTATGAGCTATTATCTAACAGACCCTGCAATTTTACCGATGTGAAGTAAGAATATTTATTCCCAAAATTATGAAATTCATCAGAGCGCATAGTGAAAATAGAAGCGTTCTTTTTAATTTTCATTTATTTTTATTTGACATTCATTTTTATAAAATGTTAATTAAACAATGATTAAAACATTGATTACAAAATTAGGCAATAGTTCAATAACTTAGTTTTTGTCTATAAATCAATTGCAAAAATATCGTATACTTGTTTTAAATTAATTAGAATGTTAGAGCCAATAAATTATATATACAAATTTCAAGTCGATTTGTGTAATTTAAACATGAATTAAAAAAGATCGTTCATTCTTAAGCAATGTGTTGTAAAAGTATGCTAAATATCATTTAGTTTTTTTGTTATTTCGTACTATTCCGTGCTTACTATTTTTTAACAACTGTTGCTGTCTATTTGCGTCTGAATCTACGCATCTTTTAATTTGAAAAGTTTCATATTTGATATGGTTACACCCACCTGTTTCCCAAAAATAAAAAAAAATGCTCAACATATTTCAAATACACTATAAAATTATCCAGTAGGACTGAAACTAAAAATGAGTAAATATCCTTCTTCGTAGTCATTTTTCCAAACAGAATTTTTATTTGAGAAACAATAGATATATCATACATTCAAAGAGAAACATTAAATACATCTGTTGAATGTGATCTTATTAAAGATTAGAGAATAATAAGAGTAATGGAATGGCAAAAAGGCGTTATAAATGACTCTATAATTAGCAATAAAGCATAATTACCCGTTATTTTATATTCTTTGTCACAAAAAGATAAATTAAGGACGATTTTCCAAATTGCTTACCATTCAGGTGGTATGTTGCGAAATATCCGTCAAATGTGCACTTACAACTTGCAAAATCTGTGTTAATTTATGCAAGTAAATTAGAAAAATACATACAACATGTTTTATTAACATTTTACTGTATTTTTAATTGAAAGAAGAAGATTCGATATTAGAATTTCGCGAAAGTGTATTTGCTAAATTGTTTAAATTTGAATAAATTTTCTAAAGAATATAACTATACTTGGAGGATATATTATTATAGCCTCTTTTAATTTCGAAAATATTAAAGCAAATAGATCACCTATTTAATTAGTTACACATAAAAAAATTTTAGATATCAATATACAAGGTATTTTTTTATAATAAAAGATAACTCACGTATCCACTTTGAAAAATCTTTTTGTAGGTAAATTAACCCATTAACCTCCAGCCGGATACATTTTGTACACCTCTCTTTCAGCGCTCACAGCTATTGCATTTCAAAGCGAAAAAAATCGCAATAGATATATTCTTATAGTTTGAAGTGTGCTTTTTCTGGTGTTATTATGTTCATTATCGAAGAACTTCATTTTTGTGCTGAAAAATGAAAAACAAAAACATTACTATTATCGAAGATAATGTTTTTTCAAATAGAGTTTTCAAAGAGTTACTGGCTTGGAATCACTTCGATCGGTCTAGATAATGGACGCGATATCTGAATCTAAAGGATACGGGGTATGGAAGTCAGTTTGACCAATTAGACATTTCAAAATGGCGCCCATAGTGCAAAATTTTTGCCAAAATATTCATGAATTTCTTTCTTGGAAACGAAGCACTTTACCAAAATTTTCTTAAAAGAAACATTACTTAGAATTATCCAAAGAATGTACCTGAATTTTTGCGAAAAGTTACGATCACCTTTTTTGTTTTTGAAAAATTGTCAATTTTTTATAAATTCTAAAAATCCCTCGGATCCTTTCGAAAAAAAATTTAGATATACTCCTTGACCGATCCTAAACACTTCTTGTTTTTAGTAATTTTTGAAAGTGTTTTGTTTCTGACGAAAAAATTCTCCATGATCACTTTTTAATTGCCCGATTATAAGATTTTGGAATTTTTTTAGATAGAAACAAAGTATTTTACGAAAAAATTACTACGTACAAAAAGTGTTTAAAATAGATCAAGGAGTACACATAAATTGTTTTCAAAACGATTAGAAAGATTTTATGCAATTTACTAAAAATTAACAATTTGCAAAATGAAAAAAGTTGATCGTAACTTCTCGAAAATATACAGGTGTATTCTTTGGCCAATTTCAAGTAATTTTTCTTTTAAAAAATTTTTTGGTAAAGTGCTTCGTTTTTGAGAAAGAAATATTTCGACAAAGATTTTGCGCTTCGGACGCCATTTTGAAATGTCTCGTTGGTCAAACTGACTTCGAGACTCCATATCCTTCAGATTCAGACATCGCGTGCATGATCGAGACAGGTTCGAAGTTGATTCCAAGCTAGTAACTCTTTGAAAACTTGATTTGAAAAAAGTTATCTTCGATAATAGTGATAATATTTTCCAGCACAAAAATGAAGTTCTTAAATAATTTGAATGGTACCACCAGAAAAAGCACAGTTAGAACTATAAGAATACACCTATTGCGATGTTTTTTGCCTCGAAATGCAATAGCTGTAAGCGCTGAAAAAGAGGTGTACAAAATATATCCAGATGGACGATAATGGTTAATGCAAGATACCACAGTTGCTCGGTCTAATGCTTTATTCTCCCACAGTCAGAAACTGTTTTTATCGAAATATCCAAACAGCAGTATTTTTTGTAATATAATATATGCAAATTTTTCATAACATTATTAAATAAAAGCTAAGATCCTTTTCATAGAATAAAATAGTCAAAAGTCTTAGTTTTACTAATTTATTTTTATTTAATTTTTATTTTTTAGTTGTAATTCAATTTTTTAATGTATTCCAGCTTATACACAAGTTGTTTATGTTGCGACAACATAACTGTGTTTGTCACAGCAAGATTTTTTTTTGTAATCCAAAGTTTGGCAATAAATTAAATTAAATTAATTAAAAAAAAAAGTTGAATTATTCCAAATTTACACAATAAAAAATATATATGAAATAATAAGCTAATTTTTCAAAAAAAAAGCATTTTATTGAAAATGTCAGTGACAAATTTAAAATTAGCATAACTTGAGAACTGTTCATCCTTTTTCAATAATTTTTCTTATTCTAAAGCTATTTCTAAAAATAGCTAGTAACTATAGAAAAATCGTGTAATAGACCCAACAGCTGCAGCTTCTTGCATTTCATACGTAGGAAAAAATTATTCTAAGTTGCAAGCAAATTGGTGATTTAAAAATGTAATACTCTTCTTGTCAGATCTATATTTTGATAATATATTTTAATATTTTCAGCAAAGTTAATTTAAAATTCCTTTTGAATTAAGATAAGACTATTATATGATCTACATAGAAATACTGTACATGGTTGGAAAAACATTTTATATCTTTTTATTTTATGTTACTTAATATTTCATGCTTTAGTAATTATCTTATACATAATCAATAAGATATTACATAATGAATACATAATGAAAATAGAAAATTTTATATTGTTATCATGAAAGCGTTCAATAATAGATCAGAAAATTGAAACATAATCTAGCTGTACGTTTCTGAAATAAAAAATTCTAAAAGAATATGACGTCAGGCGCGACGAACATTATGCGCCCTCTTTTGCGTATCCTGCAAAGTTGTGATCCTTTCTGTCCTTTCTCCCTGTAGTATGGTAATACTTGTGTTGCTTTTGTACTAACTGTTGGTATGATCCGCATTCAAGTGATATTTAAATTGCTTTGATCATTAAACAAATATTATGCTATATATTTTCTTACATAAACAATCTTTTGCAAAAGAAGTGAAATATTATCAGTTTCACATTAAAGTTTGTTGTAATAAGAATACTCATATACGCTAATTTATTGATTTTTTACAAGTTGAATTCCCATGGGGACACTTAGCAACCACTGTAATGAAATCAATCATTTATTATTTTATTTAAAGTCGCGTTGAAACATGGTAAACCACGCAACCCAAATGGGAGCACTAGTGAGGAGCCAATATATCGTGGATCTTTTTCTCATAGGACACCTGGACGAAAATCTCAGAGGCATTTTCCCCATTCACAGATTGAACATCTCATGCATAAGAAATTCCCCTTTGAAATGCCGCTAAGTATAACAATGAGGTATCTGAGCGGCTCGAGTGTCGACGCTAAGAGAGCAATTGTACGAGGAAGTAAAAAAGACCTGACCGAGCGCGAAAGGGGCTCTACTTTAAAGGTAAGCTGCATTCTCGAACAATCCTCACCTTGAAGTACTTGTCCGGTTTTCGAGAACGTTCATTGACAACCCGTCTCTTTGTTTTGATGCTCGACTATGACAAAACGTGAACGTGCATTTCAGGAAGAAAGGAAATAGTTAATACAAGCGCGATACTACGTACCTGACGACCGAGTACTGTCCAAATATTTCGTATTAAAAATCAAGCTGATTTTCGTGATTTTCATTGGATTTTCAAGACAGTTTACGGTTTCATCTTGAGTGTACGACCTTGGACGACCACGGCCAATTTCTATAAAAATAAAAAGCCTGCCCCATGGCAGTTACGATGCAAATGAACTAAAAAATAAGCTTTTTCAGGCGTAATTTATAATGCATATTTGATGCCCCACTTTTTCCGACCCAAAGTGAAATCTTGAAGCGCATTCCAGATTGGCCAGTGATTTTCCAGGACAGAGACAGCGAAACCAACGAACCCAATTGGATTATGCCACGATGCTCGATAAAAAGATTCCGCAAAAGTGGGCACTCCCTCGATTCTTCGGCGCTCCGTGTAAGAGCAACAAAGCATAGGAAATAAATAAGCTTCGAGGCATTATTCTCACGCAACTGCTGGGCTACGGACGAAAATTCACGTCTAAATGCATTATAGCGTTCCAGCAATCGCAAATTGTTTAAAAGGTGGTCGAGTCGTCGACGCGCACAGGCGACTCTATATTTATGGGCTCGCGGACGTTGCCGCGGGGCGTGGTATATAAGCAAGCATTTGTATTATCTACGTGCATGAATGGCAAAGCCGTCGGCTGCTCTTTCTCTATCGTCGATGCAGCAATAAAGCTCCTTGATCCCGTCGACGCGCGGAGGCTGCAGTGCTCACGGAGTAGCAGAGCGGTGGGCATGAACCTTCGCAACCTCGTATAAAACGCCCCTCTCGAGCCTGCGCCAGCGCACTCTTTCTTTCATCCGATCGTGCAGCCTCTCCGTTTTACGCGATGAGTGCTTTCCTCGTAAGTGTTTTATTATCTATATTAATTTGTCGCTCATACCTACTAGTGCTACCGGATTATTTTTCTTTTATTAGTATTCTAATATCATCTCTCTGACTGAATAACAGTGAATTAAGCGTTATGTAATTGACGTATACTCAATTTAACGAAATCAACTCTCAAACTGTGACATTAACGTCTTATAGTTTTATTATGTGTGAATATTTTTATATAAATTTCGAACCAAACTAATAAGTCTTCGACTACTGAAAAATATTCTGATTCGTAATTACAAAAGAAACCTGATGTTAGCTTACTTTATTTTGCAATACTTCAATTTTACCTCTAAATACATTGATGTTTATTACTACAATAAGCTTTTTAGTATATATCTACGTTTAACGGACTTCGTGTGATGACTTCAGAAAGGAATTCATGTTTATTAAAAAAACATTTTGAATACAGAATTTCAATCGAAACTTTAGAAAATGCATGTAGAACCTTTTTTTATAGGGGTATTACCCAGTGTACAAAGGACAAAGGTTTTCGATTTATTGTTATCGAAAGAGGATATAATAAGGCACAACAAATGGGCAAATTGAATAAGCAGCAGTAAAACGTACAAAATCTCAATTATGTCAGAGCCAACAAAGAGATTTACACAATTTTATTTCTCATAGGAATTGTAACACACTCTTTTTACTCTTCAATAATACAGTGTTAAAACGTGCTTACAGATAATAATTCCCTGCTTAATGGCAGTGACAAAATGTCAAGTGGTAGATTCGCAGAACGCCGCAATTCTGCGAGACATGCGCTATCTGCAAGGTGACGGGACCTTCGGGGCAGCGTACTCTCAGGAGGACGGAGTCGAATTTAAAGAGGAAAGTGACGAGTATGGCAATCGCCGTGGCTCCTACTCCTACGTCGATCCCACGGGACAAAGGCGCACCGTCCATTACACTGCAGGCGTTAATGGCTTTCGGGTATGCATGCATTGCGGATTTTGTCATTTCATTTTTGTCACGCGCCGCGTGGGAAACTCATACGTCGATCCAAGGTGTCAATTCACCATTCCTCGCGCATATATGATTTGTCGCTGTAATGAACAGAGTCGCCTTTGTATGGAAATGGCTTTTCAAAGTTCAGCAATCTTTTTCGCGTTGCGTTTACGAGTTGCGTCACTTGGAAAATATGCACTGATTTGACGGCTGCATATGTTAATACGAACTCTATCACTTTATTTTGTTTCAAGACTTTATTTCTTGTTAACTTATGTTCTTAATAAAATAGATAGTCTGTCAAATAAGTATATCTATCATTTCTGATAATTGAAACATTCATTCAATGCCATACAACGTGGTTCACATTCAAAATCATCAGACCGTGTTATCTTATGCTTACTATAATATAATATCAATATATTTTAAGTCGACAAGTGGAAATATTGATAGGAGCAAGCCAGTTCGCGTGATTACGCAATACGAGATTCCTCAGTTCAAATAACAATTGAAAAGTTATGTAATGAATTCTCATGGGATTAGATTTGCATAATACCCCAAGTATGATAAGTCATGAATGGTAAAAATATTCGATTTACTCGAATGATATGAAGATTTGAAAAAAGCATAAAAAACTGTGAGATGCCGCATCGAGCGTACTTCTCACATCGATTTACTTTATCGAGCATTTTTGAACTCTCGCAAATAATGTAAATGAACGGGTACTCCATAAAAAATATTTTTTAAATAAAAATATTGTAGAGCGAAGACTTACATTTCGTTGACTTGCATCAACAACAAAAGTATATTTTATTCCGGATATTGCGACTTCGAAAATTGCCTTTCTATTTACGAATGATGTATAGGCAAGCGGTGACCATATACCAGCACAACCTCCGCCCACGCCACCGAAACCGGAGTACGTGCCGCTGCCACAATACAATCCACCTGACTACAAGCTGCCTCTGACTCCTTCAAAACCGCCGCGATACCAGTTAATTCACCAGCCTTACAAATATCAATACGAGACGCAAGAACCTTCGTACGAGCCTCAACCTCAACCCACTACACCACCGAGTTTTCATGCTGTACCAATTCACGTAACCGCTAGGGTACCACCCGCACCACGACCTCGTAAACCATCACCACCACCTCCTCGATCTGAAATCGTAAGTTTTTATATTTTAATTATACAAGAGTATTTTTTGCTTTGAATTATTTCAATGCTAATGGAACGATTGCTAATTAATAAGAAAAATATAGATGGATTTTTCTTTCTTTTATTTTAGATCACGTTATTTGGTTTATTTTTTTTTTTTACTTTTATACAAGATCTGACATATTATTAAAATAGATAACTATTTATTCGGCACGAAATATACTGTTTGAAAAATAAATGAAAAGCAATAACCAAACGATCACAATATTTTAATAGATTTGATTGATTGATTTGATTTAGAAATTCTATAAAAAAAGCTACGTATATATATTTCAATAAAATGTGTATATGTAGCCGATCGTGCCAATAGTTTCTGATGATAATTCAACAAAGATATCAAAAAACTAAATAAATGTTCCTTTTTAAATTCATTTTTCATAATCATACTCCTCTTTAAATCAAAGCAAAAGAATACTCTAACGAACACAATTAGAAATGCTTCCAATGACCGGTATTTTCAAACCTGGTATTTGCATTTCCAAAAAAAAAAGAAAGCGTTTATAAACTAAATATTCAAACCCACGAACGCTCTCTAATCTCCCAACTTCAGAAGCGAAATGGCCAGAAGATGCCAACGCTTAAAATAAAGTTACAGTACCAGGCAACGTATCCAGAATACCCGGTACGCTACGAGCCGGGATATGAGCAACCAGCACCATTAGGGCCTGTGGTACCACAGTACCATCGTGAAATTTTGCCAGCTCAGCCACGCCCCACTTCACCGTCTTACTACTACAACGAACTCACGACCCCGCCATCCCGAAGATTTTACCCGCCAGGTAAACTCGATTTCAACAGAACACCCGATGGTTTCTCCTACACCTTCAGCAAGAGTTGAAAATGTCGATGAGCCGGTGAAGGGGATTGTATACTTTTAATGACGATTAATGCTCCGGGTGAGAGGATATTCGCTCGTCTGCCTGTCTGTGTTTTATCCTTTTTCTACTCTTTATTTATGGTGTAGCCTTTTCTCTCCTTTACATGCCAAGTCGGTTCATGCGAGATGATATCTTTGTAAATCACTCACGATAATTGATACTTTAGCGAGCGACTGCTCTGCGCTTGCACGACTTATTCAATTTTTTCAAAACTCAACAATCACTGGACGAATTTCGCGACTGTGATATAATAAAATCCGTATCCTGAGAATCTTTACAAATTATGGAATCTATACTTCAATACTCGATATATATAACACGAATGCATCGATCAAGTTTTAATATTTTTTGACAATGTATTTTCTCATGCACACATGGTAATATTATCTAATATATTATTATAAAAATAAGACTATCCTACGACCAGCTTATCTGCAACGATATGTAAAGTATTGTCTTACAGGTTATCAAATAAAGAGTCGTGAATTAAAAAATGAACATTTGTGCTGATTTGAAAAAACTTTACCAAGAAATCAGTGCACATATAGTTAACCCCTTGAAAATTCTTAATTGGTTTTCGAATAACGACCTTGTAACTTTTACTTTGGCGCATCAAAGGAAGAGGTTCGTGTGCATCTAAAAGATCAAAGTTAACGATTGGTCTCGAAAAACTCGTGGGTGGCTTCTATAAATTTACCTTCTATCGAGAATGACTTTCAAACTACCTCGTTACGAACTTCAACTTATGATCACTTTCATTTCGTATAGATACGTGCATAGACAAACTGTAATCAGTTGATCTTTCCTCATTTAGTTAGCTTTAAATTTGCCGATAATTTTGCTTGAAATAGTTGTTAAACGAGATCAAATTATATAAAGCACTACTCGTGGTGCATTGAAAATAGCCGAGCATGTAGGTTTTTACATAATTGGCTCGTGGAGAGCTTGCGTGTAAACTCGACGATGACGCAAAAGATCACGTTTAGCACGCGAGAGATGTTTGAGTAGGCCAAAAAAGTCGAGAACATCTGCTCCTTATAAATTTCACATTCTCTCTCTCTCTCTTTCCTTTCCTTTCCAATGACTCGATGCACTTTCATCTACTAACCTTTGATTTAACTCGTATAGTAATGTGGCGCAACACACGGCAGAGTCGCTCTCAAAGTGCAATCACGCCCTCGACTCTCTGTGCACTGTTATTTCTTTAACTCTCTTACACTTCTCTTTTGCTCTCCGATTTCGTGGGAAAGTCACGCGTTACTTAAAAATGTCCGTACTTCGATCGATCATCTCCATAACTCCTTAATTGACCATAGCACGAAAAAAACTCGCTCATCTATACAGGTCCTCGACTATGTTGTGCGATTTCTATTCATTTACACAATATTGTTTTAAGCGCACGGATGATTGCATTACTCGCAATACTTGCTTACACTAAAATTCACACCTGTATGTCCGCAGACCGTCTGTATATACCTAAACAACGTGTCACGCGAGTACCTGAAATACATCTTCAATAACTAACAACTTTGTTCATAATATTTTATGACTTATTGAGCGTAGTTTTAAGTTGCTAATTGAATAATTATTTGAACTTTAATATATTCATGTCGTAACGCACCATCACGACCAGCACTACTGCATATCTTCATATAACTTAAATTAATGCTTGCGAGTCAAAAATAAAGTATCTAATTATGAAATATTATTATTATTAACAAAATGAACATTCTTTTTAATTTATATATTTGATAAACAATGAACATTATGTAAATCAATATTTTTACATATCTAAATGATATTAACTCGAGAACGAAATTTCAAACATCAGTCTAAATCAGATGTTCGGTAAATTCTTGATTTCCGATAACCATACAAAACGTTAAATTCCCATGACAGCTAAAGCTTAGTTACTATATGTGTGTGTGTGTGTGTGTGTGTGTGTGTGTGTGTGTGTGTGTGTGTGTGTGTGTGTACACACTGTAATATGAATGCAACGAGATAGTTACACGATGACAGTGAAAGTATGTGGTATCATGCGATCATTTAAAATTTATAATTTTTGTATTATCTTACATTAACCGTATGACAAAGAAAGTCTAAGATTCTTGTTTTGGAGAAGATTGAAACTTATTAGCCGTAAAACGAAATTTTATATAATCTTTAAATTTGTTACAAGGTCGAGAATTTATAATACTCGAAAACGGCATAATAGTTACTACATACTGTAAAAATTGTCTTGCGTGGGATGACCTATTTTATTTTTTATTTTTAAAATTTTAAATGTCTGCCACTCGTTTTGGACACAAGGCGTCTGATTGTATAAAAAAATAATTGTGAGTATTCTTTTAGAATAAACTAAAAGAGACGGAAACCATTAATTCAAACAAACATTCATATCAGATATTAATATTTAAACTATTTGCCAAATTAATTTAATGTTGCTAATTCAACATCATTTTGACTCGTGAGTATTTAGCTATATATTAATAAATTTTATTTCACTACGTAGAATTACAATTAGGCTATGAGCCAACTGATTAATAACTAAGCATTATATAAAATTTATTAACGACGATAGTACGATTTTGGGAAATAAGTGCCAATTTTTGGAAAAAGTGATTATTTTGATCAGATTTATTTATAAGGATACAATAGACATATATCATTATCGTGGTTATGGCAGTCGCTCATTGACTCAGTTTAGAGCACTTTTTATATTCAGCCATTGGTAGGAAAGTAATACATGTCAGTACAAGATTGTTTCTACAGCAGTTCATAAAAGTATGGCAGTTTATATTATAGATAATTGTAAATGTCAGAGGTGTTAAATTTCTCTCAAATTTCTTGCAAATGAGTGCCTCCTCATTATGCTTGAATTTGTATTAAAATGACAATTTTAAGCAAAAGGCACCGTAAAAACATACACGTTTTATCTCACAAGATCCATATGTACATATATCATTCAACAATTGAATGCAATTTTTCAATACAATTTTTTGCAATAATCATTGCACAAATGTTCCACATATATTTTCACGACCTTAGTATAATTTCCATAAAAACAAATCGTTTGTGAATGGTAACATTTTTATATTTATACGCAGAAATTTAACTGATCACATGAAAAAATAAAAATGGAAATACTTATTGCGAGGAAGGAGGCACAATAATCTCTTACATAGAATACTGTATTATGCAGAAAAATAACAAAAATCTTCAAAACAACATATATTACTACTTGTTGCAAATACGCTTATTCGAATGGAAGGAAATGCTTGATAAATATACTTTATTTTGTTAAAGCTTTAATAACAATTGGAAAAAATTATAACTCTCCAGCAATATCTAAATGTTTAGAATTTAATTTTTTATACAGAGTAAAAAGATTTTCATCTTAAGTTGTTTGAATTATACTTCAAGATATTTTTCCTAATTCAGAAAGGTATGTTTTCAATATGTGATTAAAGTAACTATCATATTTACAGTTTATATTTAAAATGAATAGTTAAACAAAACAATCTTATTTTGGATAAAACTATAATCGTATGTAAATAACAAGTAAATATCAATTTCGTTGTTCACATTGAAATCTCTACAATCGTTAATTTTTGTTAGTAAAATATTATATTATGGAAACAATACTTCAAATAAAATGCTTTAAGATATCTTTGAATGACTTGAAGTTTTAGCCACAGTCAAAGCAGTAACGAAGTATTACAATTAAAATCACAATAAGTAAATGAGGCATAAAATGTAAAAAAAATTGTCATTGATTTCTGTTCTATGTAGAAATATGTATACCTATATTTTGAAGTAACGTTTTGCTTCTTTTCATCAGATTATTATGCAACTCTAATTATAAAAAAAAATGCACGGCCCTGAATATGATTCGCATCAAAATAAGTACATTTATATTCATAAAAAATAAATTCTACATTTTCTAAAGCAGAGACAGTTTATATGAAATCTTGCAATTTGATCAAAATAAAAATATAATTTGAACAGTGAAAATAGTTACTGTTAAAAATGATAACAGCTATATTAGTTTCTAGTGGAAAACACTAACTGATGGCTACGCAAAAAGCAAATCTCTTGTCTGCCAAAAAAAATGTCAACAGTCCAAATATAGCTTGTAGCTTTATCGACTGTCAGCGCAAATCTGAAATCCTAGCTCTAATTTACAGTAGAACTCGAATCGAGGGCACATAGTTTGGCTGCCGACGAGCTCGGTTCTAGCTACATAAACCGGAAGGATCAACAAGACCACGAGCGATGAGTTCAGCAGTTGCGGGGTCTTGATGCTTGTTTGATGCTGCAGCAGCGGCAGCTGCTAATGCTGCCTGTTGATGAGATGCATGTGGCTCAAAGTGCGAACGTACATGCAGAAGAAATTCCGTTTTGTCCGTGAAATCTGTACGACACATCATGCAGTGGTGCCTTTCAGATGAGTACGGTTGAGGTGGTGGCATCGAGCTTGGAAAGTAGGCTGCCGCGTGTTGAGGTGGACCAGATGCTTCTAGATGTGACCTGGAAGATCGATACATGTAGATTATATTGTAAAATGAAATAACTGATCGAGCGGTACCGATAAGGAGATAGATTTACACTGTTCAGATAAAAGCTGATTATTCATCTTTTTAGCTATCTAACATAGCAAAACATATATTAATAATATTTTAAGTGCTACTTTTGAAATTGCGCATCGATCTATTTTGAAAATTTTATCACTCTAAAAATGTGAAAACTATATAGATATTTTTTTTGGTTATATTCTTAAAAGTCTTTCATTATAAAATAGATATTTATTAAATTATTTTTAAAACCCACATGATAATGTGTAATAATTACATCTTCTTCCAAAGGGTATTAAGACTTCTTTACGCTATGATTATTGATATTTCCAGGATTAAGGTCATTTTTGACTCTGCAGAGGTACACCTTTATTCTCTATAGTTATGAGAAGCATACAGATAAGTCTATTCCACTACTATTATTATTGAATTTTAATGAAAAATTTTCATAATCTAGCTAAATGACATTCGTGTGAACACGAATAAAAATTCGATTAGTATCTCAAGTTAATTATCTAAAGGTCAATTTACAAACAGTAATAAATACTATCTTTTAATCGAGCTACAATAATTTTTCTAAACATACGTCAATCAAGTGCATAGCGAAGCAAGATGTTTGATTTTTAACAAAAAATTTAATTTAAACTAAGTAACATTTTATAACTTTCTATTCTGTTATGAGATCACGATTTCAACGTACCTTGCGTGTTGAGACCACTCTTCTCTTGTAGCTAGTACTCGACCACAAAGTTCACAAGCCCAACTAACGGTTTCTTCTTTCGATTTCTGAATATTATCAGGACGAGACTGTTGCGACTGGGATTGCTGCTGTTGTTGAGATGTCTGCTGCGATTGCTGCTGCTGTTCATTGTGCAAACTATTACTTGTTGGCGTCGATAGTGAGCCAGTGCCTGGCCGATGTCGCAATTTGTTCATATGAATGACCAGTTTATCCCTTCTCGCGAATGCTTTGCCTGAAAATAAGAAAATATTATACGTCGAAGATCTTGGAATAGATTTACTCAATATCCATTTAAAAGCTGTCATTCTCACCACAAACTTCACAGGAATATGGCTTTTCACCTGTAGAAGAAATATAACATGTTTCAAGATCGTATCTATTCGGACCTTACAATACACATACCTGTGTGGATTCGCATATGAATCACAAGCTTGTCTTTACGCGCCAAGCCTTTGCCACAAACTGTACAAGAGAACGCTTTCGATGTAGGTTCACCAGTGTTGGTTGCTTTTGAGACTGAGCCCGGTCTGCTATTTGCGTTACTGCCATTACGAAGAGGTTGTTGGTGATTTATGGGTGCTGAGGGTATTCTATTATTTACAAATTGAGGTTCCGTAGCTCCTGGAAAGGCTGACATTACAGCTCCTGGCCTCATGGCAGACGAATAATCTGGAGACCTGTGCAAGAGCATCGTTCGGAAAATTAACAAAATCTTCACTTTGACGTTTCAATTTGATAATTCGCCGTGAACTGACCAGGTGCCAATGGAGCGCAACACGCGTACACCATCGTCGTAGCCAAGCCCGTCGTCAGGCAGCGTGAAAGTCGGATTCGGAGCTTGCGGTGTGGCAGAAGTGACAGGACTTGTCAGTAGCCTCGCCTGGGCGGCCTGCTGTGCCATATGCTGCTGAACGGCCGCATGGGCAACGGCGTGCGCTTCTACGTAAGCCGAGCGCTGGTTGTGTTGGCCGTTTGACATTTTATCTTTCTCGCTGGTCTGAAATTGCAATTTCACGGTTGACTATTCTCAGATCACTGCGATATATTTTAGCAATTAGATCATTAAATCTGAATTAAGACCACGTAAAAAAATCTGCACGTTGTCGCGGACAAATATTTACACGCACTTATATATCAAGAGATAAAATCGAAAAAAGGAAGACAAACTAGTTCGGACCTACATCGGCGAGCGCGTAACGTACGACGACAAGTCGTGGCATCGCGCAACGATCTACGTCGGACCGAGCCACCGCGGGGCTGCTGCTGCTGTTGCAGTAACGAGCGGACGAAACAAGCTCTCTCTCTCTCTCTCTCTCTCTGCGATCTCTCCTCTCTTCTCGTGAACTCGGATCTTTTCTCACGAACGAGAAACAAGCAAACAGAGAAAGAGAAGAAGCCAGATAGAAGAGTATGGGAAGCTAAAACGAGCATCGAAAGTATTCGTACGCTGTAAAGTTCGGTGCGAGAAGAAAGAGGCTGTAACCGAAGTAGCACATCACAAAAGATGCAAAGAATAATAATATCTTTGCAGATTCTTTCTGTATTAATGTTTGTTCTTTTTTTATTCAGATTTAATGTTAATTACCAATCTGACAATCTGAAACAGTACAATATCAACAAATCGGAGACAAACAATACCACGGAAATTTTTTCTGAGACTGAAGAGTTTAGAGAAAGCAGTTTGGGCATCATTTGTCTTCCGAATCTTCAGCTCATGCATTCCATACGCAACATCGGTAATATCGGCTTGAGTTGCAACATCCGAGCAAACGTAAGCATATATACAGAGCAGAGAAAAAAAAAGAACGAACGGAGTTGGTGAATGCGAGTGTGTGGTATTATGTCGGGGGAGGAGGCGGGGGGGGGGGGGGGGGGGGGCGACGTCGCCGCGAGTGAGAACGCGCGCGCACCGCGCGCTACGCGGAGACGAAGGTCGGCCAGAGAGGAGTATCGATCCTCCGGCAACGACCTTATGCACCGATATACGTCCTGCGCCGATACTATGCAGCCAACGCTCTCTCTCTCTTTCTCTCGCTCTCTCTCTCTCTCTCTCTCTCTCTCTCTCTCTCTCTCTCTCGCTCTCTCTCTCTCTCTCTCTCTCTTCTCCCTTGCGCTTTTCTCTCTCGCGCGCTGGGCCAAAGTCTCGACCTGTTTTATTCAAATTTCGCAATGTTTCTTTTTAATTTCCGTGTTTTATGGTCATTCCCGTATGCACTGTTGAATTATTTCAGGATGTTATACGTAGACAGGATTATTACTTGTACTTTTAAGATAGTGTTAAATGTCTTGTTTTACGATGTCCTGAATTGCAAGGCTTTGCTTTTAAATAGTATTCATTATTTATAAATTGGTAGCAGTAGGGCTTATCGGGCTTATCGGTACTGAAATATCAGATTTTGAAACTTGTAGTATAGAAAATAATCCGTATTAATTGATTTAATTATTGAAATCCGCTGAGAGGCGACTATATTATTTTATAAAACCTTGAATTTTTGTTAAACTGAAGTCGTTATAATGTTACATTTGAGACAGTTTGGATATTGAATCTTATAATTTTGCAGGAAATTTTAGGAGTCATAAAGTGGTTTGAATTAAGTATCGATAAAATTAAATCTTAAATAAAGCATACTTTATAAATCACAGGCAAGAGAAAAGTACATAGTTTACTTGTATGGTAAGAGTAAAAAAATGATCTAGCGAGTTCAAATGTAAACTGCATACTTTTCGGCATTAAATTTCATAGTAAATTCACTGTATTGTATGCATTGGAATATTATTTAATAAAAACAGTATCACTCGTTGTTGACAAACCTGCACATACACAAACAGTCATTTGAGAAGCACTCCGTTTGAATCAAACTCCGAATTCAGTAAAAAAACTGATGAACCACATCACACCGTTGAACAGTAACAATAAAGCACATTCGGAATCTAGAACCACAAAGAGTCAAATACAACATACACGAGCTGCTGCAGTCGACGTGGTTTGCTCGCGTTAGCTCCCGGCGCAAAACTGACATATCTCGTGTACACTCGCACGGAAGGAGAACGAGGGAGAGACGAAGAGATTCTCTCTCTCTCTCTCTCGGCGTGGTCCTGCGTGCTTAGCTCCCTCCCATCCGTTCGTATGTCTATCTGACTGCGCCCTTTTGCCCGGGTGCCGCGCCACCGTCGCCGCCGCCAGACTGCGGCAAAGAGCGAGAGAGAGAGAGAGAGAAGTGCGCGGTGCGTCGCCCGGCTGACCTTGACACTGACATTGTCCAAACGTTACTCGCAGTTAGGAGTTACATCCAGCACCTCCTCTCTGCTATGCACTCCTCCCCGAATTACCTCTGACGTCTCGCGAGCTTCTACTTTTGAAACTTCATGCGCCGTGAGTTCGTTTAACTTCTTAGGACGGACACGTGTCGACGCCTATACACAGCAGCTCGAAGGATCCCTAGGCTAATGATATATTGAAATAAAAAAGCTGCCCGATATTGACCATTTCACAAGATTTTATTTAAATGTCTTACTGAGGTGCACTTAACTCGTTCTACTTGAAAGCCATGTGCATGAGAAATCTAGACAACGACGCCTGACAATGACTACGTTATTCCGTTGCTGAAATTTATAGATGCAAACAATAACTTTATTGCTCGCGGCAAGTGTTCTATGATCTCTCGAATTGCGATGCAGGTACAGCGCAAGAGTCCGCAATGACAAAGTATATATCGTATAATTCGCGAAAAATGTACGAGAAGAAGGCGAGGATGCGAAAAGGGATTCCCCCTTTTTTCATGGCTGAAGCCACGGGCGAGGAACAGGTTTTGCCCGCGGAGCCATGAAGCAAAGCAGTAGTAGCAGCAGCCGCAACGTCGGCACTGGCCGAGGCTATGTGCGCGCGCGCGACTGGATCGTTAAAAACGTCCTGCGATACCTGCGGGCGGGCAGTATAAAAAAAAAAGAGAAAAGAAAGAAAACAAGGAAGAGGGAGATAAAGAAAGAGGGACGCCGAATTTTTTACTGCGCGTACACGTATGCCTACACTATATATAAGCTGTACACCTGCGGCAGTCCGACGAAACTTGATACTGCGGTTTGATGTAACGACGATTATGAATTAACAGCGTTTCGAAGATATCTGGGTCGATCTGCCAAACTGCTCTTTGACTGCGGACTCCAATTTTGTTCGTTTACCAAAGAATTGCTGTTTTCAAAGAAAAATTTAACTGCAGATTTATATTTATATCGTTGCATGTAAATGGTTTCTATGTATCTAACTGAATTTTAAGAAACTCTTCCAAGAACAATATAATTTCTACGCTGGATGATTATCTCAGTCTCGCATTACCTTGCCAACACGGATTATATTTCACAGAGAAATCGAATCAACATATGGTTCTTATAAAAAACGCAGGAAAATTAATAATCCTTTAAATTCTAAATTAACAATAAAGTAATAACCTTTGAAATTGAGAGAATACTTTTACGATGAAAGAAACTTTTTATCAGATAATATTTGCTTTCGCTGTAGGAACAAAATGAATTAGCTTTTTCTGCCAATTTTATAATTGAAAACGCAAACTTTCGTACTTGATGCAATAAAAGTTTTGACATAGTTAAAAAATGCAAACTAAAAAGAAAAAGACGGGAGGTTGAGGCAAAAAACAATAGGCTTATAGAGTACAGCGGATCGAGTGTCTGGCTGAAATTGCGGGAGGTGAAGGCGCGCAGGTGAAAAGTATAAGCGCGAATGCATGCGAGAGGAGAAAGATTCTCGGATAAAGACCAAGTGGAGTCGGAGGAAGCTGCCGGCTAGACGTGTGCATGAACAAAACGGAAGGCTTGACTTTCGCTTTCGCGGGGCGTAAAGAGAAGGGAGTAAAGACCAACCAGCCGACTCGATCAATATAGCGTCGCCTGCCTGCTCGCCGCCGCCAACCGCGAACGCGATGCGATTGCAGCAACACCCACACGCGTACCCACGTGAGTCTCAGACGACTACTGTGCCCCGCTTATCCTTGCCCCAAGGCTTTGCTTCAATAACTACGATTGTTCGTCTCGCTTGCTCTTGTATCATCCATTTTTATCTCCAACCCAAATGAGCAACTCATCATTCGTATTATCTTCTATACTCTTGGATGATATCGAAATTTTAAAAACGAATCAACTGCTTTCGCAATACATATTTACAGCGACTTTGATCGCTGATGCTCTAAAAACTATTTTTTACTTATTAATAACAAATATCCGTGTATTAATAAACAATTTCGAAGATTTTCTTTCATTTTTTATCGATCGATTGTGAATTTTAAACATTTCCAAACCCAGGTATCCTATTAAATGTATTATAAATATAAATATTAGAATTACAATAAAATATTGTCGATTACCTGATTATTCATTGAAGCAAGGGGTTTTAAACTATCTGCGTAATTTTTCAAAACTGATTCAGTAGTCATGCAATTTATCCGAAATTCATAAAACATATCTAATTTGTACATGCATCTTTGACAAATATTTTTGGGTAATGCATCTTCTTTTGTTATCTGAAAAAAATTTATCATTTTATATTTTTTCCGTTTCTATAATGGATAATAAATTCATAAATAAGGAAAAAAATAACAGTGGAAAATTTTCATTGAAAATAATATCTTATCTTATGTATTTAAAATTATAAAATATCCCTATTGGGTTAAACTAACTGGGTTAAAATTTCATATGTAGGTTACATTTTTTTTCATAGAATTAAAAAGAAAAAATAACGTAAAAATAAGTCTTTTTTTAATCGCATTTCGTTATTTTTATTATGATAAAAAAAGTAGATGAAACTGTAATATAAAATTAAATTGTAACATTTGTAAACTCACCACTGTTGGTATACAAGAACGTATTTTAAACAACAATTGTCTTTGCTCGCCTTCTTTGTCAAATATTTGCATATGTTGATTACTTTTGAGTGAGCAGAGTCTACACAACTCATCGAAATTAAAATCTTCATTTATTGCCATTTTCAAACGTATGTCTATCCCTATATTTGTATCTTTACTAGTATCATTAGGTTATGATTTTATATTACTGAATAATTCACATAGTTTTTCCGATACTTTACTACATTTTAGGCTATGTATCCGAATAATCAATATTCGTCTACTTTCGCGACAACGCAAATATAAAAAAAAACTAACAAGACGATTTCAATAAAAATAAACAATAAATGTTCAATGGGGTTGATCTAGTATACTGCAGTAACGCTGCCATTACTGCTTAGGCTTGTTTGTCCTTCTTGCACCATATAGTGCTTCTCTAAAATTTAAGTCGAGCCATCTACCGTCAAATCTCCCAACCACGTACACCGTTTCCTACTGAAGGTCAAATAGGTGATATTTTGTTTTCAACCATATTTTATTTTATTACACTCAGATATTTTACGAAATTTTCAATATTTTTGTTTAATGAAATAGATCATTTTACTCATTTTTAATATCACTAAAAGGTCGGAAAAGCATAGCATCGAATTATATATTTTTATACAATTGGAAAAATTATATATTTATGATCACATATGAATTGATAAATTTTTCAAAAACTCTATTAAAATTTATATTTTAACAAAGCTTTTAACGTATAATCCAAATCATGCAAAATATTTTATAAATCTAAATTTTAGAATTCAAGAGGTGTCGGGTTAAAAATAAAAAGAATAAGTGATAACAGAATTGTGATGTTTATATATTATTTGTTTAACAATATAACATCGTAAAACATTCTGTATATACATTATGTATATAGTTTTTTTATAACTTAAAATTAAATGTATACTGATTGCAGTAATTACTTAAAGAAAGATCACAACTATAAAAAATCTTATTTAATACGCTTCTACATACTACACTAAAACAACCAGGTTACTATTAACTAAACTGTAGCTAATAGTTTATTTACAAAATTAATCGTTCAATATAATACGCTTGAGGATAAACGCATACGTGATAAAATCCTGCTTTATCGTTGCATATCTCGCTTAATCTCTACGTCAGCAATCATCGTAGGCTTTATTTTGTTTGAACATGTAAAAAAGTGATTTCGACAAACAAAAATATAAAATGACAGTTCTCTAAAAATAAAGCCTACTGTATACAAATTGATAATAAATAATACGATTGTATTATCTTATCAGCAAATAAAAATCACGAAAGGGAATAAAAGTATTTTATAATCTCATTTACTGACATCATTCAACTTATATGTCCTTCAAAAATGCTACAATTGTCACGTATATAAATTTGTTTTTCATGCAATTAGGCTTGAAGTTAATAATTTATAGTGAACTCAAGTTACACTTACTCGACGAGTTTTAATGTCTACTAATTTTTCTTGTAAAGCATATGTGTGTCTTAATTGTAGGAAAGATCACCGTTCAATTCTTAATATTTTATTGCTAAATAATTGTATAATTGACTGCAAATATATTTAATCCTTAGGTAGAAAAACAGTATAATTAGGAATCAAATTAATTTATACTTTATGTAAAAAAACGAGTTAAGCCTTCGATCTAGACATTATTATAAATTGTCATGTTCGTGTAATATTTCTAAGATGGATGTATTATGAATATGAGTATGATTTAAGAAATTCGTATATTTAGCAACAAACTTGGATCTTGATCCAGCACGAGTATTAAAATCAGTTAAAGCTTAAATCGACTAATGTAATATTCAAATTTTGTAGTAATATACCGTTTTGTCTAAACCTGGTTAACTGGAATTCAAAGTATTAATAAATAATTTCTCATAACGAATAAATCTAGTGTTATGGAATAAGTTATATACAAATTCATCAATCAATGGATTCCGTAATTTTACACGAAAATCACAGTAAATGTATCAAACAGTGTAATAATTCCAGTTGCGTCGAGATCTAATGAGTTTTCGATATTGTAGTATTTATGCGACATCACTATTAATATATTCGGCAATCCAGACACTAAAGCTACTATTTACAACTTATAAAAAATTGACATGAGCCTTAAGTGAAACATTGCTGTACAATGACGATGCACATTTGCAGTATGATCGGCAAATGAACGACAGTGACTACGGTCGTAGTGCCATAGTACCATTAGCATTATTAATAATACCCAATGTTGTCAATAGAATTGACTCTGTCGTATTTGCGACCGGAGCGAGCGTCGTAACATTAACGTTGGATTTTTCGACGTACAGCTCAGCAATATCTAATAACGATACCCAAGTTCCAGAAATGAGAGCGGCTAAGGCAACCAAAACGAGGAAAGCGTTTTTCCATATTCTCCAGTAGCCGGCACCAAGGTGTCCATCCCAACACGACACTGTCTCGACCACAGCTGGGATAAATATTCCAAGGAATGAAAAGAATACTGCTCCTACCAGAGAAATAAATGGGTCGAGTGATGGAACTAACATTGCCACGCTCACTGAAAAACAAACAAACCAAATTATCAATTTCACAAAGCCCGTGGAAAGCTATTCAACCTACAAATCCATTCTTGATAAATATATTTAATTACCTGTAAGTAGCACCATCAGCACTCTCATGACGGTTTCTCCGAGGAATTCCCATCTGTGGCTGAACTTGTGCTTAATAGTATTCCAAATAATCTCTAAAGGCACAAAGTATTGTAATCCATAAGTAAGTATGATTGCAAGAGCAATTAGTATCTTTACAATCTGTCCAAGGCTGGAAAAATTAAAAGAGCGTGATGTTTATTACTCATGCATGTTCTGCACGGACGTCATTAACATAGCGAATAATTGATTTTGAATAAAATCAAGAGCAACGCGCGTGTTTTTGCTCATACATACTTACACTTGATCAACTGGAAGATTGTAAGTAATGCTGCCTTTAGCGTCGTCCCCGTAACTCAGGTATCCGAACACACCCATCATAGTGTATAATGAAATGACAACTGTCATTGAGATATTGAGTACACTGGGACAGCCAATAAAATGTCCTGGATTTGCCATGCTATTTTCGATTGGCATTACCTACAAAGAAGGGACAACTGCGCTTTACTATAAGATACAAAACAGAGCTTTTAAGAAAATGAAAAAAAGGCAGATACTCACAGTACCGATTCCTTCAATGGCAAAGATAACGGTGGCGAAGAACTTAGGCAACTGCTCCCAAGTCGATACGTAATGGATCTTTTCTAGCGGTTGGATGTCGCTGAATATATAATAAAGTGTAATGGCAAAACCAATCGTCAAGCTAATGTTAGCCACAACGGAGAACGGGACCAAAATCTTTAAATGCCGGATCTGTCCCAGAAGGACCACGGCTGGGATTAAACAGAGCATGTACGTTCTTATATCGATCCCCTGGCCTAAGTAGTAATCTCCTAGCTGAAAATAAAAATTTATTGCTTGAGTTACTTACTTCATCGTTTTAATATAACTTTTCAAAGGTTACCTGTCAATTACATAGTACCAACATTTTTTACATTTCGCTGCCAGACAAAACAAATTTTCTATTTTATGGATAAACATGCGCGTATTACACACGAAGAACAAGCTAATCCATTTCCCAGAACTTTTAAAAAGATCTGCCTACGATTGCAAGTTTATGCAAATTGTTTCCTTGCCTTGCGGCTTCTATTTTTAAAAAATATACATATTTTAAGCTCTACGAAAAACTTTCATTGTTGATGTCAGTCAAACAGTACTTTATTCCACGGAACAAACGAGACTTCTCAACTAATCGTAATGACGCGCCGCATGCCTATTAACAGATTCATATCTGCAAAGACAAACCAATAAGACATCGATGAGATCACCGAACTAGTCAAAGTCAACAGCTCACCGAAGCGTCTGTTAGATAAACGGATATGTGACGAGCGAATAAACGAAGTATGCAATTGTGATGTGCACCCACCCACCTGTTTGATACCCGTCGCTATGAAGACTATGTAGACGCACGAGCCACCGACATATGTAGCGCATAACGCCCAGTTAACGAGATTCCTCGCGAAATTGGCGTATCTCCTAAGGGGCTTTGGTCCATATTCGAAAGCAGCTCCGGCGGTGTCGGCATACGTCATCTGCGGCGTCTTCGTCTTGCGACACAATACGTGCGACGATCGTACCAGGATGTGGACGCAATGCGAGCACAGGATACCTATGAGCACCGTACCAATACCACCGACTATCAATCCACCGTTCTTTATCGCACTTGGCATCGCCAGGATACCCGTGCCCAAGGACGATTTGATGAGGTGCGTCGCCGAACCAGCATCCCTGCAAATCACGGGGAAAAAAATTAAAAAGTTAGCAGAGCATCCCAACAGTTCTTTCGCCTGTACCAAATTATAGATATTGAGTCAGAGCTTCTACAAAGCGATGGCCCAATGAAATGCTTGAAAAACCGCTTTGTTTATTAAATGTGTGACAAGGTAAAAGCGTTTCTGTAGGAGGATTAGTCAGTGCATCAGAGCGCGCTCGCAATGCTAATTTAACCGTAATTGATTTGTGGTTAACGCAACTAAAAGATTCGAGGAAATACAAAGACATCCAACTAGAACGAGTTGTGCGCTGAGGTCACCAATTTCATTCGCGAAGGTTGCATCGACGCACCACGAGCATACTCTGAGATTTTACTGTTCTACCCGCTATATTCGTGATCAATATTTGCAGTTATATGTTTTTTTTTGGGCTTTGTTTGAATATGAAAACACTATAAGCTCACAAGTTTTCGAATTGACGTCACTGATAATCCGATACCATTTTTGAAGACTATGAATGGATATAACTTTTTGCTGTTAGTTGGAAATCCTGAGCCAATACTCAATAATGGAATGATTGAACGATCGTCTTAAGCATCACCAAATGTATCTTGTAAAGAGTTTGCCATTTTTAATTCACGACAGCGTGTCTTCTAGGAATTTATCAACTGTAAAAAAATCTCACACGTGCTCCAAGGAATCGAGTTATGACTTTGATAAGGATATAAATTATTATTTTTTTTCACTTTTCAGCCGGTTGAAGGATATTTTTTTACCTGATTTTGCAATTATTCTTAATGTTCGTATATGCAGATTATACATTTGAATTTGTTTAAATCATATATTACAACACAAAGATCTGTCGAATACAATTTACATAATTCATCGTTTTTCGCTTTTTCTTCAGACAAGTATATCGTCCATTTATAACGATATTTTTCATATGATCAATATATACGACACATGTTCTACCTTTATGATAATAAACTCATGTCTGCGACTGAGTGCATACTTATTTAATATTCAATTTTACGAAACGATGCCATTGAAGAATCACAAAGAATCTTACGAGCACGTGATATCCGTCGAGTATGTTTAAGGGGCGACCTTGATCTCGATGCAAGACGTAGGTGAAAGGTTCCCATTACGCTTATTCAATCCATTCTTTTCACGCGATCGCTAGCCATTAAATCTACCTGTTCGATCGCGTCTATAAAAAAAGATGCACAGGATAGCCGAAAGTCGAGAAGAATGTTGATATTAATTGACGGTAAGTGCGTTCAAGGTCCGCAAGTATTAAGATAAGAATATCATTACAAATGTATTTTTCATATCCGTCGGGATTACACTGGATGACAATGTTTTTTACGCAAAAACGGCAACCTCACCTAACAAGCAGACATTTTAAAATTGTCCGTATCACAAGATATAAATAATCTATTTAAAATTAAATCCAGTGATTGATTACGCTTTCAAATATTTCTTGTCATCATCATAAAACTTTTTGTTCGGCAGTTCAGCGGAAGACCATGAAAATGACATTTTATTTCCGCGCTGAAAATCATGATAAATCAAACTATTGATTTAAAGATGTTTTTCTTTTTGTTTATCGCTATATAATCGCGCGATTTTTCTTATGCAGTCTTCGTGTGGGAGGACTGATGAAAAACGGAAACGTTTGTGTGCATACGGTATAAGTGACGACGGTAATGACGAGGTATTGAGGTCGTGGACATCAATGCTTTGTTGGCGTTGCGCACAATTATTATCCGTGTGGCATTATCTCCGAGGAGAGGCTTAATCTTCATTAATTGATTCAATGCAACTTTTTTCTTTCTTTCTGAATAGTCCATGTTAAATGTGGAGATGTTTGCGTTAAATATTTATCGATTTTTTCGAAAAACCAGCACAGTGACCTTCCTGCTGCACAAAAGTCGCCAAAAGAGAGAATGTAATTTTTGAAGGACTCGTAACTTTCTAACTTTAAACATATCGTTGTGAATCAGAAAGCAGCACTGCTAAAGATTCCATTCAATACTTGTATTTTATTTCGATATCAACGATACTTACGAGGTCATGTGCTTCTTATCTCTGTGATCGAATGGATTGTACAGTTCATCCTTTTCTCCGGTCGTCGGTGCTATTTTAGTTCTGTAACAGAAAAACAGGAAAATTTTCTGTTAACATTCCTTTTGTTCGGTGAACATGAAACACTTTCACAGTCTCCAAATTTCGTTATTTGGTAAAAAAACAGTCCCGTCGCAGATAAGAAAAAAAAAGCCCGTTGCATTTTGTCCTGGAAAAGAGAAACAAAAAATTCCCGCACGTGTTGAGTCGAAACCCAAAGGCATATTTTTTATCGCGACAAAAGCTCTCACCACCTATCGTCAATCTAATACTAGTCGCTGATAAGAAATATCGATTTACGTCAACGATTCGGTATACCTACGATAACGCGAAATAATTGAGAAGTAGCAAGTTTTGATTGCTCGATTGCATTTGGATTATGATTCGATAATCAGGTATTTTATCGCGATATCAGTGCACTACTAATACCTTTCGATAAGCTAATCTAAGGCCAAGGTCATTACTCCGCGGCATATCGGTGAGCATTATTTTCGTATTTTTATTTATTGATGTTCTTTCGTGTGATCAATTATTCATTTGATGACAAAGTTATACCACGTGAGATAAAAATGATCAAAACAAAATTAATAAGTAAAATGCCAGTACTTTTTTCAACATTGATAATGTTTTATTTGTGTCCAAGGATTGACCAAGCTAACGGTCTATAACGTTATAGTTTATTACTATTTTTTCTTTCGACGTAAAACAGAAACGTTTTAGTCTGTTATTAACAATATTAACGGTGAAAGTGACAAGCACACTTACGTGCTACTGAAATCTCTCATCTGCTCTCCTGGCGGTTCATTTGCTTCCTCCTTTTTGCCCATGTTTGAAGTTCTGAAAATAAATAGATTTCCCTCATTAATACTGAACGAGAATCCAAAATAATCTAAAAAAAAAAATAATTAGATAAATCTATGAGGGCTCGTGCACGTGTTAACGGCAAGAGGAAAGGAGCGTTCCAATATGGCCCGAAACGCCCTTACCTCGAGATCATCTCGCTTCTACTTCGTCCGATAACTGGTGTAGTGACAAGTGAACAATATATACAAAATGTCATGCACAATCGGTAGGAAAGACACTGGAGGAGTGGGAATCTCTTTTTCTCGTGACGACGACGTAGAAAAATAAAGACAAAAAAACGTTGCGCTTACGCTAGTTTGTTCACAGTCAGTGTTGTTTGCAGTCGCGCGCACCCAAGGATAACGTGGCTGCTTGGAAAATCGCACCGCGATCTGCTTTGATGTCGTAGTGGTGATAAAGGAGTCCGCACTGTCGCGTCATGACCCCGATTTCAATCTACTTGGAATTTATTAACGAGTATGCCCTAGCAGATAATCTTCCGCGAGCGTGAAAAAGCCTCAACGGAACGCGAACGTCACTATTTCTGCACCACAAGGGGGGCTCGGAAAAGTACGCGTAGTCGGTTCGTAGTAAAGCAACAACATGCGCGATGAAGTCGCAAGAGTTCTTCTAGCGCGGATTATAGATAGACTAGCTAAAAGCGATGGCGAAACTCGATTGTCGGCGTCGCGAGCTCTATACAGCTTTTTCCGGCAATTTCAGTTCTATCCTTCATCGGCTGTTATCAGAGGTATTTGACCGAGGTATTGACTTGATTGATTTCAATATTGAAGCTCTAATACGGCTGTAATCAAAGACAGAGTTGAAACATTTATTAAGAGCAGCGAGATTTCTTTTTTCAATTCCTTTCGCCTTTGTTGAAAACGGATTAGTCGATTATATAAACGGTCCATAACTACCCACTGTTTTTAACTGACTATGAAAGAAAATTACCTTTTTTAACGATGTAATTGATAAACGATTGAAAGCTTCAAGATCCTTGATCGATAATTTTTCTAAAAGCATTACCTTAGCGCAGACTTGCTCGCAGTGTTCACGTGATCCGTAGATTTAAAACGTGACAACGCATAACAAGTATCGAAAGAGAAAACCAATTGCGATAACGTAAGCGTCAAAAAACTAGCAATAGATAATTACATTTCACTCGATACGCTCCCGCGGTGATTGATCATTGAAGATAATTGAAGTCGCGCAGTACCCTGCCGCAGAGGAAAAGGTTGCACAACTTTAATAACGCATTGAACTTTCAACCTTATTTTTAGTTATTCAATTTCTTTACATTCGATCGTATCCGCTTATGGGGCGCGCGGCGTTACTTTGAATTTCACGATTACGAGTTCGATAATAGTTTAAGGTAATTAAAGCATCACTTAGACAATGAATTTAGCAAAAAGAGCAGATGAAATATTGCGAAGCGACCTATCTATCAAGTATACACGAATGGAATAATCAATTTTTTACATGACTCATTTACGGGCCGATTCGATTGATCCTCAGATGCGATTTCTCGTTGACAAGAACGCGATATCGTATCACTTCATTGAAAAAATACTCGAGTGTTCAAAGAATTACTGATGCAAGATTCGCTTCCGTTGCGAGAATATTTTAGGGATATTATTTTGGTAATGCTATTTCGGGAATGAACCGTCCCAGAGATGCGCGCGTACGTACGTACACAAAAAAAAATTCAGGTCGACTACAGAATTTCTTTATTTTGGAAGTCGGCAGAAAACACAAATAGTGGAAAAATATGCGGAAACCTAAGGAGTGAATGAACGTCATTAAAATCTCTTTCGGTAACTCGAGACGCAGTTCATTCGTTAATCTCAATGGCATTTACAAAGAGTACACGAGCGAGCAGGAAATTTCCGAAAGCTGGCGAAATGCGAAACCCCGACGCATGCAGACGCGTTGAAAGAGTAGTGTCCCGCGCGCGGTACACATTACAGGCGCCGAAAGCCAAACAAACGCTGCGCCGCGAAAAGGAAGGAAGCGAAGGCCGACGTACAGGGAGTTCCCGCGGCGCCGCGTACAATACGCGTCGATCTCGAGAGATTTATCGGCGGCACGTATACCCGCGAGCCGAGTGAAATCTCCGATTGATGTGCGCGCGTCGCACGTGCGCGGCCTAGACTATACCGCACGGCGTTACACATTTGCGCGGTCCGACGCGCAGTTGCGTAACCCCGCGAGCGCCGCCGCGGCTGGGTACGGCCATTGTGTCCGCGCGAACGGGGGTCCCTTTCCGAACGACGCAGCTCGTTTGCTTGGCAACGCGCCCGAGAAAGGAACGGGATGCTGCCACCTTTCGCATCTGCGCATCTCCGCTTTAACGAAAGCCGAGTTCGGGACACGTGCGCGCGCGCGCGATCGAGTGGAAAGGTTTCCGCTGAGCGCCCGTAGAATTCCAGTGTCCGCTGCATCCGTGGCATGCCGCGGCGGCGTCTGCCTAGCGATAACGATCGAGCCGATTGGAATGTCAGCGACCGCGTCGTTAGAGTCGAAAACTCGACGGGCGATATCGCGAGGCGAGGCCTCCGCTGTACGAGTGAAAACTCGACGGGAGAATTTTGAAATTAGCATCGAATGAGCATTGGGCAACGGGCGACGCGCCACTCCTCCGCCCGCTCATTCTCGTGACGTCGCTGAATAATTCAGCCGCTTAAAGACCGACTGCACGTGCCTGTGCGTTTGATTGTTTTAACAAGTGGCACGCGGCTTTCTCTGGCGTGAACCTGCAGCCAGCGATGCGCCAACCATCCTCCTCCCCCTCTCCTCTCCGTCGCGAAGAGAAAACCACTTCCATGCGTCAGGAGGGATGTCTTTGAATTGCGCCTTTTCCCGGAATCTGTACCAACTGTATTTTGCTCTTCCGGCAAAAATATTGTCACGCGCAACGCGCGAATGCAATTATAGTCGCAGAGCTTTTAAAGCTAACTGATACGTTTCGTGGGCTGAACGCTTTAACTATTTATAGCTTTGTGTGTCACATATTTTTTTTTTCCCAGCAACGCCAACTCGGCAAATGTCATTCACGATACATTAATACAAATGAGTCGGAAAACTTCGAGCAATTTAGGTGTCTCTTTAACTTGCGTTTCTTCTAAAGCGTTTCCAAATGAAAAACGAAAATTCCTTTAAGTTGTGAAGGCTGATACGACGCGTGAAAGAGAAAAAAAACCGGTCGCGTGGAATTCAAGACCGCCACGTGGAAAATTGTGCACCGCGTGAGTCGGAACATTCGAATTTCTCTCACGTGATCGGTTTCCTATGCGTGGCATTTTGAAAACATTACGAGGCATTGTTTGTTTATCAAGCGAAAACACCATTACCGAGATTCTGAGTCATCGCCGAAAATTAGCAATAGCCGTTAATGAACTGTCCAAGAAAGCGGTGCGCGTCACAGAATAATGCTCATAATGAAGTTTTAGTAGATAACGAAATTGAGAGATTCCAAAGCGGTGCGTACGCACTCGCTGATAGTACTATTGATTTTCTAATTTCGATTGTAGGTCGGTTGTATGGTAGCAAAAAACAAAAAACAAAAACAATTCGATTTGTTGACTCTCGGGATTGAATTGCGATTAAGCTTGTCAATATTGTCCGATTATTCAGCAGCATTCAAGGAAAATCCCTTATACTGTAATATTCAAATTAGAAGCAGATTCTTCCGCTGCTTTTTAGTGTCACGACGCGAGAATATGGAAATGTTTTTGCAACTGCTACACAAAAGCGAGATTTATTACTTGGAAACGTTTTTCTTCTTCTTTTTCTTTATGCGCGAACGGAAACTAAGGTAGACTGGAAAAACCAATTTTGAAAATGGACTTTTAAAGTGCGCATAAATTGAGGAATAGGTAATAGCCGCCGCTGTGAGCGAGAGAGGAAAGATTCGAGTAAAACTGAAACTGGATAAAAAAAAGCACGAGGAAACGGAAATCGTGTGATGACGACGACGACGACGACAACGCCGACGCCGGAGAGGAGGATCCTACTACGGCTCGCAACCCAGTTTAATCGGCTGTTTCACCACCTTATTGCGCTCGATCTTAGCACCGAACAAGGCTCGTGAAAATTCCACGCCGGAATTCATTTACTCTGATTTTTCTCTTCGTCGCGCGAGCCGAGTTGCGCAGACAGCCGGGCGGTGAGA